ATGTAAAACGCTTTAAATTTTCTCGTGATTGGCTGGAAAATGACATTTATAAATCTTGGATATGGGAAGTTATTAATGATAATAGTAAATATTTTTGTTTTATGTGCAATAAAACGTTTTCTTGCAAAGCACGAGTTACTATGCATGCTGAATCAGAAATTCATCGAAATAATATATTGCAAGATTGCTTTGAAGAGACACAAGCAACTCTAAAGGAATTTCGCAGGAGGAAGTTTTGCCATTCATGGCTTGGATATAAACAATTCAAACTGTGGTTGGAGAAAATTCCGAATAACCCATACAGTTGTTTTTGCTCTTTCTGCAATGTGACGTTTCGATGTGGTCTCAACGCACTAAGGCGACATTCTGACAAGAAGAAACATATTTTAGTATGTCAGAAAAGAGGCCTCATGGTAGATTTGAATACGCAAGAGGAAACCACCTATCTTTTGCAGATTGGAAGAAAATCGCGGAAATTAAATTTGCAGCATTAATTGCCGAAAGGAACATTCCGTTTCAAACGGCAGAGGCGATTTTAAGTTTGTTTCAAAATATCGGGGAAGATCCTAGTGTTTTGCAAAGTATGATGATGACTCGAAAAAAGACGCCGCAAATAATTAATAATGTTTTATGTACTTGCGAACAAGAACGATTAAAACATACTTTGCAAAATAATAAATTTTCAATATTTATCGATGAAACTTTTGATATAACTAATGATAAATGGATGACATTTCTTGTTCAATATGTCGACCCTCAGACTTTGGATGTTCGAATGGAATTATTTAAATTAATTCATTTAGACGCGAGTGATTGTAGTGCCGAAAAATTATTTATAACTTTTAAAGCCGAAATGTAAAAAAATCAATATCCGTTTCAAAAAATTCTCACTTATTCTTGTAATAACGCCTCCGTTATGATAGGAAAATATGAATCATTTAAAAAATTTAGAAGAATATTGCAAAAATTTGATAACGATGCCATGTCTATATCACTCATCTGCATTAGTAGCAAATGTAGCTTGCAAAGCAATTCCTGAAGCATGCAAGGAATTGCTGCACAAAGTAGCATCGTTTATCTCTAGCAGTCCCAAACGCGCGTGTATTTTTAAACAATTTCAAGAAGCATTTAATTACGGCACACATTATTGAAACGTTCTAAAATTGTTTGAAACGCGATGGCTTTCTCGTCATTTATGCGTGGCTAGACTGAACAAAAATTGAGACATGCCGTTAAAATTTCTGCAAGAAGAGCAAGCGAATGAGAAATCGAAGTCTGAGGTTTCTTTGCTGCTTATGATGCAAAATCCAGAAATTCAAACATACCTGTTGTTTCTTGAATATATTTTTGACGCATTTAACAAATTTAATGCGTCATTTCAAGCTCAAGAAACAAGGGTTCACTTATTGCAATCATTTGCGGAATATCTTTTGAAAATCGTCCTTCGCAACGTTATAAAAGCATCGTTGTTAGAATTTGTTGCGATGGGTATTATTAATCCTCTACTCACGTATAATCGTCGCTTTCCTGATCAAGTTTTGGTTGGACAAACGTGCCAAGATCTTGATCGATTAAATAAAGATCAGGATGAAATTGTTAAATCAGTTTACGCTAATTGTTTGCAATTCTACGACATCGCTACTAAAAAAATTTGTCAGAGACTGTTTATCAAAGAGGAATTTCTTAACAAATGCGCATTTTTTATTCGAAATTTGCTCTATAAGATGATGATAAAGAGAACAAACTAAACACCGTTGTTCAGGATGTTTTATTTGTTGCCAAACGATTCGGCGGATTTGATGAGGAGATGTTGCGAAAAGAATGGCAGTATTTACATCTGGATTTCGCATCTGAGCGGAAAGATTTTATATGACGTTTGACGATACATGGAAAATAATAGTGACAACTAAAGATACGAATGGAAAATTAAAGTATTCCACAATGATAAAATTAATTAATACAATCTCTTTCAAATTCTAATGCTAATGCCGAAAAAATATTTTCCATGCTAACAGATGTAAAAACAAAAAAACGTAATACCCTTTCTTCGAGTCACGTTAACGCTCTGTGCGTATTCAAATCATGTCTGAGGACAAGAGGAGAAACAGCTGTAACAATGACAATTGATGCTCGACATTTAGCTCTCATGGAATCTGAGAATTTACATAAAACAAGTGATACAAAGAATGCATGTTCTTTACGTTTGTTTGGTGTCGATGATAGCCCCTCTACGTCCTCGGATTTGTAACTAAGTCTGTCATAAGCCAAATTTATAAACTGCACATGTTGTTCATTTCTCAATTTTAATACCACGGTATATACTTTGCGTTGTATACTTTGTGTTGTGGTACTAGAATTCAGCAGTGGCCACAGGTAGAGTTCTTCTGTTTTGCTTCTGAAAGGCTCAGTTACAGTTACAGTTTAGGTTGCTTGGTGGCTGTAAATATTGCTCTTTGTAAGGCATGTATATATATGTTTGGTACCTTTCTTGCTTTTAATTTTCTTTGGGTTAATTGCAAGTTTTTATGGAATACTTTTCCACGTAATAGACTGGCGAGATATTTCATGTCGGTCTCTTAATCTCTACTGAAGTATCGTATGTTTGTTGTGCATAAATATTAATAAAACTCTACACTTCATAGAATCATAGCGTTTGAATTCTTCACAAATAAATATGGAGAATACGTATATAGGAATTTTTTAGGGTTAACCTAAATGACGCTATTTCACGTCGTCCATTTCCACTTTAGTCCTCGAATGCTATCTCACACGACACAGCACTCACGTTTGGACATAAAACTTTTCCTACGCCACAGAGTCCCTCCAGAACAGCATGTGCAACCTCTCTGCACAACTCTATAAACCCGCAAAATAATTTGTTATTGAAGCAAAAGTACGTTAATGTTTAACATAAGGCTACGTTTCGCAAGGTATCACAACTGTCTCTACTCGTTTGAATTTCATATTCATAAGGCTTATAATACAAATCCGCCGCTGTAATTGTCAATTGTACATTGCTTAGATTATTTATCCAAGTCTTTCGCACGAGTAAAAGGCTTGAATAATTATGCAACTTATACCGGAGTTAATTTTTCTCCCAGTAAACACCGTTTATTGTGAATGAAGAAGAGGCTCCGGTGCTTTTTCTGTTTAGTTGACAACTACAGTGACGGACTTTCAACGAAGGCATTGTGGTACTAAAAGCAGTTTGTCTCGAGTAGAAGCACACTGTTAAGTATAATAAGGGCGTGTTATCATTACTAATCACTTATTCATATGCTACAATGATCAGATAAAAATTATGTATATGCATGTATTAGGTGGTAAACTTAGTTCCTGCGGTTTTTTGTTTAAAAAACTCATTTATTTCGACATCGAAAGCAAAAAATACATTAATCGAAGTATTTTCCCTCGCTAGCTATACATTTTTCCCATCTTTCGGGCAACGCGTAGATTCCGCGACGATAGAACGATTGGTCTTTTGATGCAATCCATTCGTCGATCCATTTTCGCACATCCTCGTAATTTCTGAAGTGTCGAATTTCGAATTACGTCGATTGCTGGCTACTACTGGCCTTTTTTCCAACAATGCTTCATTCAGACGGTTTAATTGTGATTGATATCGATCCCCCGTGATACTTTCGTTCAGTTTCAATAGCTCATAATAAACGACGCCGTGCATATCCCACCAAGTGCAAAGCATTGCTTTGTGGCCATGAATATTTCTCTTTGGTGTGGATGTCGATGGTTGGCCAGGGTCTACCCATGATTTTCTTCGTTTAGGATTATCGAAGTATATCCATTTTTCATCGCCAGTCACTATGCGCCACAAAAAACTCTTCTTTTTCTGCCTGGCGAGCAGAGAAATAGAGATGTTTAAGCGATTCGCAATGGCATTTGCGGTTAATTCGTGTGGCACCCATTTTCCTTGCTTTTGAATTTTTCCCATTGCATGTAGACGTTTGGAAACAGCCATCGGAGTAACATTTAATTCTGCAGACAATTCTTAGAGCGTTTGAGTAGAGTTTTCGTCCAATAATGCCTGCAAATCGGTGTCTTCAAACTTTTTCGGTTGGCCTGAGCGTTCTTTATCATTGACATCAAAATCACCAATCTTAAATCGCTGGAACCATATTTGGCATGTTCTTTCCGATGGAGCATAATTGCCATAAGCTTCGAAAAGCAATTTATGAGCTGCAGCTGCAGTTTTTTTCAAGTTAAAGTAATGAAGCAGCACATGTCGAAAAAACAACTAATCGCATTCCATATTTAATCAAAAGAAAAAATAGCACTGCTCTCTTAAATGAATTTCTTCGCACTGAATTTTATTGACAAATGTCTAACCTCTAAAATGCAGCCAGTTTTAGATGTCAAAATAAATTACACCTACAACTAACGTCATCTAACTGTGAGCCGCAGGAACTAAGTTTACCACCTAATATAAGCATTATGAATGCCTAACAGCGGCATTGATTAGTGCAGACGAAAGTAGAGTGAACACTTAAATGTATATATATATATATATATATATATATACACCGTTTTTGTAACATCTTTCGACGTGGTCCGATTCTCACATGCATATAATTGTGGTGCGCACGCAAATTATACACAAGTATAACGCTTATATATTTTTCCATTTATTGGCCAAAAATGGAAGTAAAGTTGCACTCACAAGCAAACTCTCCATGAAGATCTGAACGAAGAATGTTCCAGGAATAGACAAATAGTGAACGTGAGTAATGTCAGGAGTAATATTAACACGCTTTACGACAACGGTTTGATAAGTAGTAGGATTTGAAATGAAAACGCTATATTTCGGAATAATTTCGATTTATTTTTCAACATAGTCCCTTTTCACTTCTATACACTTATTCCAACGGTACTGTAACTTTTTAATGCTCTCTAAAAAGTATGATTGTTTAAACTCTGCAAAATAGGCATCTACCTCAGTGATGACTTTCGAATTCGACGTAAATTTCTTCTCTGCTAGCCATTTTTTATGTTGGAAAACAGAAAAATGTCGCTGGGACCAAATCAGGAGAATATGGCGGATGGGTGAGCAGTTCGTATCTCAATTCGATCAGTTTAGCTGTAGCGATTACGGATGAATGTGCTGGTGCATTTTCGTGATGGAATAGGACTTTCTTCTTTGCAAGATGAGGCCGTTTCTTTTTCAGTTCCACGTCGAATCGTACCAGCAAATCACTGGAGTATTGCCCCGTGATAGATCTTCCCTTGTCCAAATAATCGATGAAGATTACACTGCGGCAATCCCAGAATACCGTAGCCATGACTTTTTCGGCCGATGGGATCGTTTTGGCCTTCTTAAGAGCTCTTTCGCCAGATAAAGTCCACTTTAGACTGCTGCTTGGTCTCTGGTGTATAGTGACCCACGTTTCATCTACAGTCACAAAACGACGCAGAAACTACGCCTGATTGCGCTGAAACAGCTCCAAACACATCTTCGAAGTGACTACCCGATTTCGTTTTTGGTCCATGATGAGCAATCGTGGCACCCATCGTGTCGATAGCTTTCTCATGTATGATATGTCCTTTACGTTCTTTCGAGATCTTTACCATATCTGCTATCTCACGCACCTTCACTCGACGGTCGGCCAATATGATATCGTGCACTTTTTCGACAAAATCATCGGTGGTAACTTCTTTTGGTCGCCCGGAACGATCATCATCAAAGACGGATGTGCGACCACGACAAAACTCGACGTACCATCTAAAAACAGTGCTTCTCAAAAGAGCAACACCCCCGTAAAGGGCTTCCAATTTTTCTTGGACTTCTTCGCACGTTTCCCCATCCTAATAAAAAAAAAAACGAATCACCGAACGATATTGCTCTTTTTCCATATTGACGACAATGGCTGAGGCGTTCGCTTTAATCGGCTGCCAATAAAAAAATGGGCGGATAAGGCTGAAATTTTGACAGGCATTGTTTGAAAAGTGGGGCTATATGATGATAAAACCGGTCTCGCTGCAGTGGCGCCACCATGCGTAAATCCTACTACTTATCAGATCGCTCTCGTATTTTAATGTACAAAAAAGACATATAGGACATCGGAAATATATAACGTTATACGAGTGGACATAGTTGTGATACTTTGCAAAACGTGGTTTTACATTAACGTACTTATGTTTCAATAACAAATTATTTTGCGAACTTACAGAGTTGTGCTAAGAAGCACATGCTGTTCTGGAAAGACTGCGGTGTAGGATACGTTCTGTATCGAAGCGTGAGTGTTGTGTCGCGTGGGATGGCATTCGAGGACTGAACTGGGAATGAATGACGCGGGACAGCGTTGTCTAGGCGAGTTCTTTAAGATATCCTCATACTTATTCACCTAAGTTTGTATGTTAAGTTTTCGCGCTCTGATTTTATCTCTAGTTTTGGGTTTTATTATTATTTACGCCTCCAATACATACAAGTAACTTTGGCAGCGAAAGGGAGATTTACGCGTTACATCTTGTGTTCTATTACATGCAAAACATTTCATAAGGACAATTGGCAAATGCATGTATTATTGCAACTGTAAATACTATAGTTTTTTTTGCGTATATATATTTCTTTTGTAGTTCTTGTGTAGTTCTTTAACGTACTTTTCCGTTTGCTTCAGATATTGCTTTAGATATTGCTTTAGAGATTGCTTTATCCTTTGCCCGCATTCCTTTTTCCTAAGAAATGTTAGAAATTGCCTAAAAGTTACTTTTTATATGAGACTTATTAGACAATTTGTTAAACATTTTTTCATGGAGAAATCACCACCTTCTCGCGGTTTCCATCGAGTAGTAGTGTGAACTTGCGTATTTCTTACTTTTATGATTCTCTGATTTTTCATTCCAAAAAAATATTATATTCTATTCACATATTAATCATTATATATATACACTATATATACACTATAATACTATTCACTATTATATAACAAACTTTTCATGATTTTGACGCTTTCACATTAATGCATAAGCATGTCTCATATCTTCAAGATGTGATTGTATCCACATTTCTGGCAAAGAGTGGAATTCCCCTTACCTACGTTTTACATTGGAAAACGCTGCTTGCTTTATTTATCTACGGTGGTTTTCACTGAGAGTTCGTTTACATTACAATTGTAAGAAGCTAACGATTCCACGTCACATTCGACAAGAAACGACTGTTGAAATTGGTCGTAACTGTTTTCACATAAAATACGCATATAATGAGAAAAATTGCTTTGTTTGAAATATAAAGAGACAATTTGTTTTGTAATAATAGTTAATGTTGCAAGAAATTGTAAATTACAATTATTTAGAGCAACTGCTTGATAATATGTTTTATTACATAGAATCAATGGACTCTATTTGATATATTATTTTATACCAATTATATATATTATTAATTAGATTAGGCATGCTCGCGTCACTGACCGACAGGTAGAGCGGCGCATTCATTTATTCGGAGATGTTATCGAGGAAGAATATAAATGGAAGTAAATCAATGGTATAATGTTGAATAAGCGTCGTACTGTTCATCAATTCTGAAAACAATATCAATTTCGACCGAATACATACGAGGTCTGTTCAAAAAGTATCGCGAATTTTGTGTTTTTTCAAAAATTATTTATTTATTCATGAATATCTATTTTGTCTCCTTCAAAGTAATCCCCATCAGATATTATACACTTGTGCCAACGTTTTTTCCAATCCTCGAAGCACTTCAAAAAATAATTTTTTCAGCTCCTCTTGTTCAGCTCCTCCTTCGATGGCGTCTTTATCTCCTCAATCGTAGCGTAGCGTCGTCCTTTCATGTGCCTCTTCAGTTTCGGGAACAAGAAAAAGTCACAGGGGTCCAGATCTGGGGAATACGGTGGCTGCGGCATCATTAGTGTGTTGTTTTTGGCCAAAAATCCGCGCACAAGCAACGATGTGTGAGCATCGCCGTTTCGCGGCGACCCGTCTCATGCCCAAATCATTAGTAAAAATCGAATGGCACGAGCCAATCGATATGTTTAGGTC